ACAAACAATCCAAAAATGGTTAGAATACCTAAGTAGGCATTCCTCCAAAGAAGATATACAGATTGCCAACAAACATATGAAAGGATGCTCAACATCACTAATCATTAGAGAAATGCAAATGAAAACTACAATGAGGTATCACCTTACAGCAGTCAGAGTGGCCATCATCAAAAAATCTACAAATGCTGGAGCGGGTGTGGAGAGAAGGGAGCCCTCTTGCACTGTTGGTGGGAATGTAAATTGATACAGCCACTGTGGAGAACAGTATGGTGGTTCCTTAAAAAAGTAAAAGTACAACTACCATACAACCCTGCAATCCCACTACTGGGCATATACCCTGAGAAAACCATAATTCAGAAAGAGTCATGTACCACCATGTACATTGCAGCTCTATTTACAATAGCCAGGACATGGAAGCAACCTAAGTGTCCATCTACAGATGAGTGGATAAAGATGTGGCACATACATACAATGGAATACCTCAGCCATGAAAAGCAATGAAATTGAGTTATTTGTAGTGAGTTGGATGAACCTAGAGACTGTCATACAGAGTGAAGTAAGTCAGAAAAAGAAATACCGCATGCTAACACATATGTATGGAATCTAAAACAAAACAAAAAAAGGTTCTGAAGAACGTAGGGGCAGGACAGGAATAAAGACGCAGACATAGAGAATGCACTTGAGGACCCGGGGAGGGGGAAGGGTAAGCTGGGACGAAGTGAGAGAGTGGCATGGACATATATACACTACCAAATGTAAAATAGATAGCTAGTGGGAAGCAGCTGCATAGCACAGGGAGATCAGTTCCATGCTTTGTGTCCAACTAGAGGGGTCTCATAGGGGAGGTGGAAGGGAGATGCAAGAGGGAGGAGATACGGGGATGTAGCTGTATATATAGCTGATTCACTTAGTTATACAGCAGCAACTAACACACCATTGTAAAGCAGTTATACTCCAATAAAGATGTTAAAAAAAAAGAGAAGTGTATATCTGTTAATCCCAAGCTCCTAATTTATCCCTGTCCTGCCTCCCCCCTTTAGTAACCATAAGTTTGTTTTCTATGTCTTTGAGTCTGTTTCTTAAAACAGATTTTTTGTGTATTTAATTCTGCTTTCTTATTAATGTTGTAGAGTCAGAGATGCAGTCTTATGAACCACTTTATCAATGGAAATGAGCAACAGATGTTTTCAATGTTAGCAGACTATTGGCAGCATATAAATTGGCAGTTCATTGGAGACCTTAAGAACCTGGAAAAGTTTAAAAATAATGACACTGAGGGTTCCGACCCACCCCCTAGTCTGAAGAAAATGGTGGTGAGAGCATAACAAAGGTGTTTATTTTGGGTATAAACTGTTCTTTCATTTAGCAAACATTGTGATATGTTTATAAAGACACAAGAGAAGTAGACACACCCGGAGTGGTTTATAAGCAAAAGAGCTCATAACCCTGGTATGGAAGAGGCCTTTTCTAGAACTCACAGGATAATCTCTCTAAAATTTCATTCCTGAAAAGAATAAAAGTTTTTATTGATAAGGAAATGAGAGACCTAGGTAGTAACCATTGTTTCTGTAGATATTTGCTATTTTGTGTCCTTTCTAAATAGGTTGTCATCTGTGCCTAGACCATTATTGAAATACAGGACATTATTCAGAGCTGAAGGTGCCTATATTTACTCTAAATATTTGTCTTACATATACAGTGCACGTATGTGGTTTTCATCAGCTTTAAATATGCCGGAAATTTCTGACTGGCCCCTTTTGTGAATACCAGCCTCGGGACTATATGGGGTAACACAATTCCAGAAACTAGTCTTAAGAGATCTGTGCCAGAGCAGGAATTAACATGGCAGGCTGAGGATGAGGAAATCATGGCTAATATGTGTTCCTTCTGCCTTTGGGTAATGCTGTAACATAGATTGCTGTCAAGTAAATAGAGCCCAGTTTAAAGAGCATTTTGATCAGGCAGTGAAGGAAATGACTAATTCCTTTTCATTTGGGCTGCATTGACTGGCGTCAGTATTTTCTGTAGTTTTTGCTCTTTGGTTGCCTTGAGCTTATGAAACAAGTCTGGACTACTTGAAATGGGTATTAAAAATCTAAAGATAGGGTCCTCGTTTAAGGGTCCACTGATCTTATTACTCATTTTCCAGAAACACCCCTGGCTCTGATCTTTTTTTTTTTCTTTGACGTTTTAGCTACCTGATATATTAGATTATCCAAATGAAAGTATCAATTGGATATTTCCCCTCCTTCCCCTTCTACCAATACCATGTTGGCAGATGGAAAGAAAAAAAGTGGTTCAAAAATATTTAATGGTGAAGTCAGATTCAACAGAAGCAGAGGTGGAAGAAAGAAACCTAACTGCTCCACTTTGAACACACATGTTTTCCATACACGGTGGGTTTTCTTCAACTTTCATAATTACAATTTCAGGCAGCATCCCTCCACTCCAGGACAGTTATCCATGTGTGGGTGACCCATTTCCTGTGCATTTCCTTCCTCCCACCCACCTCTTGGCCACATTAATGCTACTTTGTGTCACAAACGATACCACAGGTGGCCAGAGCAGGTTTTGAAAAAGAAAAAAATGAAATGGAAACCTGTGAGGGTTGCTTTGTGTTAAATTAAAATATTTGGTGAGGAGAGGCCCAAACTCCTGGCTAGAATGAGACTTCCGAAAAACATGGGCATTTTGTAAATCTACACTGTTTCTTTCATGATCTGTTAACCAAGCATTAGCTGGTTAGATATCTCTGACGAGGTTGGAAGAGCAAGCATTTGGCAGGTGTGAACTTGGATATAAAGTGGAGAATATGCCCTCCCTTCTGGTGTGTAATCAAATAAGCCAATATTGACTGAAATCCTAGATCAGACTTGGTTTAATGCATAATCTTCTAGAGGCTTACAAAGGAGACAGAATTCACACACAAGATTCAACACTCAACCACAGTTCAGCAGAATTCAGTAAGTTGGGGTTGGACTGTGTGAAACAGAATGTGTGTTGGGTGTGTGGTGTGTTGTGTGGTGTGTGTGTGTGTCTGTGTCTGTCTCTCTTCATTCCTAAGTTCAGGGAAGGGGAAGAGCTAGCCAAGTGGGAGGCAGTAGGTCCTGAGCTGTGCTCCAAAAACTGGGGAGAGAGGGGAGAGTGGAATTGGATCAGTGTAGTAATAGATGGTGGTGCAGGGCCTCAAGTGCCAGAAAGAAGTCAAGAAAGTGACAGAAAGTTACAAGTGTTCATAAAATATATAAGCCCCTATTTTCAATGAAATTGATATTATCTGTGATGAAAACTGGGTACACCATGTGTTAGAATGAATCCATAAAACTACTCAAGTGTGTTTATGATGTTCGACAGAGGTATTAGAGGTATCTGCCACTAGTTAGCATTTGATTTTGAGGGGTAAAGTTTGGAAAGAGGTGAGCTTCCATTTAGGTTGTACTTAAAATAAAAGTCAAGTCATGGCTGCAAAGCCTGGGATGACCTGACCTCTGTTGCCCATTCTGATCTGCTACCTTTTATGCCATTTTCCTGCTCATCCACTAAGCTTCAGCTAGACCCCATCTTCTTTCTCTTTCTTCAGTGCACAAATCTGTTTCTCACCTTATGGTCATTGCATTTGCTGTGTCCTCTACCACGACAAGGTCTGAGCTCTTGGGCAAGCCAGCTCTTTCTCATCAGTCATATCTCAACTCACAATTCACTTTCTCAGAAACTGGGATCTTTTCTGTCCATCCCCCCGCAGAGAGGTGTGTACTCAGACAGCTCAGCATTGACCGCCATATTACCCTCTTTAATTCCTTTAAGACATAAGGAGTGTTCTGAATCGTCTTCCTTGTTTTCTTTATCATCTGTGTTTCCCCTTTAGAGAGGTCATGAGGACAGGGACCTCATCTTCCATGTTCACTGCCATATACCCCAGCATGTAGTAAGTGCTCAATAAAGTATGTGTTAGATGAGTCAGTGGCAGTGGGGTCTCCATTATGCTTAGAGCATACAGATCTCATGTTCTCTTCCCCTCTTGAAGTGCTGAACTGTTACAAAGCAGGAGGGAGATAGTGAATGTTGTGGACCATTGTGTTGCCATGGCAGTAGGCTAAGGCACATCCCTTTTCCTTTGTTCCTCTGCCGAGCCTTAAGAACCTGGAAAACACCACTCAGAGGGATATTTCATAGAGATGGACTTTGAAGGGGTAATTGTGTGGGTTGGACGAATGCTAGTCAATTATATCGGGAAGAACTGCTGGTTTACTTTATTTATCGATGTGTTTGTAGGTTGTAGCCATTGTGGAATGAAATCACTACACCTAATGAGCTAAGATTCGATGCCTCTTCAGCCTGCCCTTCGAAGCCCTCACACACATTTTCCTGTGCCTGTCCCCTGTCTGGACCCTGCACTCTTCTCTCCCTTCTCAAAGTAGCACTGAATAAGTCTGTTGGCTCCCTACAAATTATGAGACAACACTCATTGTTAATTTGCTGAAAGAAGTTTGAAGAAACTGTTATCTTTTCTCATTAATGGGTTTCTCACAGCAGTGGCACACCTCTGGCTGGCACCGTACAGAAGCTGCCGAGGCTGTTTTTACAGCCAGGCTTTTCTAGGTGCCTGTTTAAGAAACGATAAGGTATATGTTCTTCAGTTATCTAGTTTGGGTTTATAAGTGAAATGCTACAGTGCCTTTTCATGTGTCATTAATACATGCTAACAATAAAATGGGTGCCCCCGTTATTCTGCTGTTGAGATATACTTTATTTGTCATGTTTTTCCGAAGGTGTTAGAACAGGGCAGAACTGGCAGGAGAGATTTCTGTCTTGCTTTCCTTCCCCACATCTCTCCTTCCTCCCTTCCCTTGTTGTCATGTTGGAGATCTGCGCTTCTACTTGAACAGACAGTCCACCAAATTCCTGTTAATTTAATGCATTGTCTTAAGAAGTAAGTGATTTTCCAGGCTCCTCACTATTTGGTAATCTGCAACGTCCAGTTCTCCCTCTTACACCTTTAGCACTGCAGTGACAACACACATCCCTGCCAGTCAGACATGAATATCGAAGGAGCCTGGAAGAGAGGCTACACGGGAAAGAACATCGTGGTCACCATCCTGGATGACGGCATTGAGAGGACCCATCCAGACCTGATGCAGAACTACGTGAGTATTTGCTGTGGTCAGAGCAGCTTCCCTCCTGGGAAACAATGGAACTCATGTTAGGATGCTCCACAAGGGGGAAAACCACTGAAAAATGCAGCCAGCGGGTACAGTAGGCTCTGCGTGTTGCTCCCATCTTATAAAGGATGCACTCTTGGAGGACAGGAAGCAGGAGGTAAGGCTATCCCGCTGTCCACTTTTGTGTGCCTTTGATGTTCTGATGACAAAATGCAGGTGATAAGGTAGCGGAAACCGGTTTCCAGCACCCTTCCCTTGTGCTACTGACAACATCCACTCTTCTCAGCAATTCATCCATGCAGCCAGATAGCACTCCTTGTTTCCTTTATGGAGAAAGCGTGCTTAGAACCCTTCTCAAGTTATTCTGCGAGTCTCTTTCTCTCTCTGCCTCTCCCTTTTTAAAGGGCAATAATGAAGAGCCTCCCAGAAGTCCTTAGGAATCAGTCAGTTCCCTTGCTTAAGAAAGGACTGAGATTCCAGGACTCAGAACATAAGGTGAGCCCAGGGTCACAGAGCAAGTGAAAGGGCTGAGACTCAGTACTTTCATTGAAAACCACAGTCTTGATACCCAGTGTCCACTGGACACTCGGGTCGGTTTCTGTCCCTGGGGTCCCCTTTACCACTGTGATATTTCCTGCCTGGAAATAGGTCCATGACCCCTCCCTCTTCTACTCTCCAAACGCCTCCTTTCCATCAGCTTCTCCTCCCTAAGTTTGGTTAAAAATACCATAATTATCTCCCAACATGCCATTCTCTGCTCAGATTTGTTTCTCGTGACACCTTGGTGTTCTCCCTGAAATATCTCTTTTGTTACCTAAGCGCCTGCAGGGACTCCCTCTTACCCGCAGATGCAGCTCTCTGATTTCTGTCAGGGCTCAGCAGACACTCCCGCTGGATCCCACTCACACCAGTGCCTTCTAAGCTCTTTTCTGTAGACGACTACTTCCACTAGAGCACTGGTTCATCACCACACACCCACTAGGACTTCAGTCACTTTGACCTATGTCCCTCTCTGTTCCTTCATAACTCCTTTTAATCCCCAAACTTTGGTTGTAAGAGTTTTCCTATATTGTATTTCATGTTGTTACTGAAAAAAATGTCAGAGTTGGTGGTCTTCTCTCAGCTTACAAGTTTCCTCTCACAGCCTTGAAAATACAAGCAGCTCTAAATCATAATGAAGCCAGGAGTCATACTGATCCTTAAGGAGGAAAGTCAGGGGCCGGGGTGGGAAGCTTTGCTTCGTGTTTACGGAAGGTGCCCACGGAAAACCCTAGCTATAACTGGGAGGACCACATCCCCTCAGATTTTTCTCTTCTCTATTCTATATTCATCATCATTAAGGGAGCAACGTCAGGAAGCCCAGCCCATCTCACGGTGCCCTGAGTTTGTGGAGAGTTCTGAGAGGGGCCTGGCCCATAGCTTCCTGTTGCACATTAACACGAAGGACTCACCATCCTCGCAGGCCTGCTGCCTTTCTCTCCTCTTTGCTCCCCGGTAACTGGTGGACACAGCAGTGGCCCATTGTCCTGGACTCACTCAGAATGGACATACTGTCCTCTTGAAGTCTGCTATTCCCCCCCCCCACCCCCCCGTCTGTCGCCCTCTCTCTCTCTCTCTCTCTCTCCAGCATGGGAAGACATGGTTTCCCTGCACTGTGGGAATGACTCCCTGTATCTCTGACCATCTCTCCTCTGGCTTCTTTCTCATCTGCCGCTTCATTTGCTCATGAAACCATTTAGGTAGTGATGGCCATATATGCTCTCCAGTGTTTATTTTTCATTTGCTCAGTCTCACTTATTGCATGACACTTACTTTCTCTTAGTTTTCCTTTTGGCCCTCAAACCTGAGAAGATTCTCTTTTTATCTTTGCAAATAAAATACTTCCAAGTCACTTCCTTGACACATCAGAAACTACCACTGGCTCACACAGCCACCCATATTTCTGACCTTACGAAGACCTTCACTCAGGACCACCCAATATCACCTTATACTTTTATCAACTTTAACTGCTTTGTCTCTCAGTATTCTACCCTGTTGCCCTTTTTGTTTCAAAAATTCAGCTAAGAAACTTCACAAATCAATTTTTACAATGAAATGTTGAAACAGTTTCTCCTAAATTAGATGATTTTCCCTAAGGTTGAAAAACAGAGAGAGAGAGAGAGAAAAGGAACTGCAAGTTCATTTAGTTCTCATTTGTACAAGACACTTGATTGGCTGCCCTTACCCTGCCTCCAAGCACACTCAGATAAACTTGTGTCTCTTCACAGAATGGAATTTTAGAGCTAAAAAGGAACTTCAGTTCAGCCTCCTCATTTGATAGGGTAGACACTGAGGCCTGAAGACTAAAGTGAGTTAGCCCAGGTCATATAAAGAACAGAACTGTGGCTGTCCACTTCCTAGCAAAGAAGTCTTTCTTATCGTATGCAATGCAGTTTTTACAGGGTGTTCCTTCTCCGCACTGCATAGAAATGCATTTGATTAAACACAAAGAGCCTTAACCTAAACGTGACTGCATTCTTTACCTTTTTCACTTTTTTCTCCCCAGAAAGAAAATTCTCCAGAATTCACCTGTGCGATTACCAGTACTGGTGCCCTTTTAATTCCCCTAATGTTAGAGCTGGTGAAGAGTAGAGAAAAGCACATTGGATGGGGTGGCTGGGTTCCAGTCTTAATGCCATAGGCAATTCGTTTCATGCCTTTGGCCAAGTCACGTAACCTGTCTCGGGCTTCTGTTTCCTTATAAGTGAAATTGCACGGTATTATCCTTCATGCTGTAATGACTGCTGAGGTGGGCTGCTTTGTATGTTCCTTTGTACGGGAAGCAGAGACTTATCACCTGTATATGTCACGTGTGTTTTGCTTACTCCCCCCAAACATTTCAGACTCCATGTACTTTCAGTTATTTTCAGAAACAAGAGACTTTGATAAAGACAGAAAACAAAGATAGCATTTACTTTCACTACAACTGATAACAGAAATAAATCATCATAAAGGCATCAGAAAATTCAAAACATCCTAAATTAGTTCTATCTATGGTGATATAAATTTAGATGATGGAACAATCCATTAATTTTGTTTTTTTTAGTAATTTGAAGATTTTTCACAATCATTTAAAAAAGCAAATAAATTCAGCTTTGGTTTCAGAGAAACTTCTGCTTCATTTTGAAACTTTGACATATAACAAAATTTTGATCATCATTTTGGTTGGGGCAAAAGACCATTTGGTGTTAGTACGAAGTCTTGAATTGTAGACCCTTTTATAGTAGATAAAACATCTGAAACCAGACAAATATTGCCTAATAGAGGTCCCGAGATACCTGATATGATAGATTTCTAATGATGATTTTTAATTGGCTTGCCAATTATTTGTGAATGATTTCTGTCTCCAAAAATCTTTGAATTGTGATAAGGAATTTGCACACTCAAGAGATGAAGTAAGGAATACAGAGAGAGTCGGCGAAGAATAAATCACTGCCTTCTAGGTGTTCTAGCAGTACTTCGCAGAGAAAGTGGTTGTCGAGGACATCTTCAAAGCACTGGGGTGAGGGGTCAGTGCTAGGTATGAGGGAAAAGTGCTGGCAGGAGTGGACTGGGCACATCTTTGGTCTGTAGAGAGTATTTCTTCACCTTCATGGGGAAAGATAGGACACTGATTATTACAGAAAAAGGCATCCTGACACCACTGGACCGTGAGTGTATTATTTACTCTAATTACTCTCTTGCAGAAATGTGTTTAAGGAGGCGTGAGCCTTCAGGTGCGTGGCTAATTAATGAACGTCTGTCTCCTTTCTCTCTCTCCTCTGTGACCATAGGATGCTCTGGCGAGTTGTGACGTGAATGGGAACGACTTAGACCCCATGCCTCGTTATGACGCGAGCAACGAGAACAAGTAAGGTCCAAGTGGGGGTACCTGGTATGTGGCTGGCTGGGGGCTTTGTTTTCTGCTCTTGCGGAGGGAAGTACTTTTTTGATCCCTGATTTGCTCCAAGATAAACAAGTGTCTTTCTGCTCAAGCTTCTGGATATAAAAAGGCGTGGTCCACATAGTAAGAATGGTTGCAGAGAGAACTCTGGGGAATGACTTGAGGGTGCGGTTGGGGAATATTGTTCCTCAGGTGTTCATTGGACTGTGACCCATTTGTTTAGGGATAGGGGTGCTAAAGGGAGAGGCAAAACAAAGTACCCCCCAAGAGGGTTACTTTATTCTGTTAAGTTCAACGCATTTGATTGAATGCTGTGCTTGAGGTCTCTGCCAGTGCTTTCTGATTTGCTTCTTTTTCTTTTCTACTTTGTAGTGATTGTGTTTTTTACTAATATACCTGAAATACCTATATGGTTTGCCACATATGGAACACATTACCTTTCTTATCCTCACAGTCAAGAGCCTTAGAAACCCATGTAACCACGTTTACACTTTCCAGTTAGTACAGTAGTTTTTTTGAAAGCAAATGAAATACACATCCATTTCTTGCTTACGATGATCCAGGTATTTTTAAAAGATTAGTAGGTGTTTCTAATCTCCAGATCACATTAACTTTTTTGCTTTTACTGCAGTTTCTCCAGGATAATGCTGTGATTTAGATACTATCATTTGAAGTTTTATTTACATGTTTTTGTTTGGAATCACAGAAGTTACAAAGAGAGGTGCTTTACCCATTTATTATGTACTATTTCTAGCCTGCATTTTTCTGTAGGGAAAAGTTTCTCAGCTGGTATTATTTAAGTAAGTCAGTAAGTTTAGATAAAACCAATGCGGCCTAGATAATTGTGACTGTACATGGGTTTTTCTTTTTTTTTTTTCCCCCTCTTCTTACCATTTACAAAGAAGCCTCAAAAAAGTTACTGTGAAAAATATGCTGTTTTTTAATATTAATGAGTCAATATTATAAATCAAATTCAGTGGTGAAAGCATTAATATACAAATTGATGTAGATAGAATTTTCCAGAACTTTCCAAACAAAAAGAGAAAGGGACCTAAAGTAAACTGGATCATTTTCTTTCAAGCCTGGTCATTACTGTCTAGATTACACTGTTTAAAGTTACGGTCAATTTCACACAAAGGGTTATAATTTGAGTCAATGTGAGCTAATTTATTTAACCTAATTTGCAAACTAGCATGAAACACTGAAGAAGAAACTTGAAGCTTCCATACTTAAAAGGTCACCGATAAATTTCACTCTCCAGTCCATTCTACTCTAGTGTGACACATATACTCCTAAAAATACTTGCACTCTGCAAAGTCTAAAACCATAGAGTAATAGGAAAAGCTTAGAAGCTTCATCAATGACACACAGAAAAATGATAGGGACCTATTAAAACTTATTCATGTTAACACTTTATTCATGTTAAGTGGTTAAGAAATTTATAAAACTATAATAAATGTGGCACTTAATCATTTTTTTAATTTTTTAAATTTAAAAAAATCCTTCTTTAAATTATCTTTTTTTTGAATTCAGCCCTTAGCTGTGAAGGAAAAAAAAGGTTCAGACAGGTCAAGTGGATAAGGGTTAAACAGGTAGTAAGCGATGAAGAAGTTAGGAAACAAAGAATCAAACTCAAGTGGTTTGTTTATAAACTCTTGTTCTGCATATTATACACAAGGCCAGACCCTTATGGTAATGAAAAGGAAAATGGTCCAAGTATCTGTCATTTAAATGAGTTGTAACTAGAGATAATTGGTTTCAATAACAGTAAATTTGAGAGGAAGAAAGGCTGAATTATTGACCAAAATATTTGGAGAATACAGAGCGCTGAGCTGACCTTTCACATCCTGTCATAAAGAAGGCTCGAGACTGCGTGCCAGTCTGATCCTTCAAAATAGTAAAGATATGATTCATAGCGAGGCTGGGTTCAAAGTCCGTTTCCATCAATTTTATGCTTAATCTGTGTCTTATCATCATGAAATTAAATTCTAACTAGTATGTTTATAATACAATTCTCTTGTGACACTGACTTCTTAAGTTGCACTGTTCTTTTTAAATTTTTTATACAGTTTATAAAGGTTACACTCCACTTACAGTTTTTACAGAATATTGGCGATATTCCCCGTGTTCTACAATACATCCTTGTAGCCTATCTTACACCCAATAGTTTGTATCTCCCACTCCCTGACACCTGTACTGCCCCTCCTGGCACTTCATCTTGAATAAGACCTGAAATTTGCTTATGGAAGTGTGTACCCATTGCATGGGTACTTCTACTTCTACTCACATGCCTGCCACTCTGTGTGCAAGAAAAAAAAGAGGAAGAAAAAAGAGATAAAGGTGAAAACTTTGAAGAAGAACAGAGAGTAGAGAGGAAAATAACAAAATAGGCTGGGAGGAAGGGGGAAAATAAGCAGAGTGGAGGCTACCCTCCAGGATGGTTTTTGGAAGCATGGCAGCTTGCAAGTTATTCTGAAGTGGAAGGAGGGTTATCTGAGGTCAAAGAGGAAGTAACAGCACCAGATGTAGACACATGTGGACCATTGTGCTCCTAAGGTGTGCAGCTCTGTGTGTTTCGTGCATTCCTACAGTGCTCAGTGCAACTAGGTCTGTTTTCTACAGTCACCTAGAGTTTCTGGGACAAAATTGTGCATAAACAAATGCAAATTTCACATTATACTCAAATGACTCTCTAATATATCAATGTTATTGGAAGAAATGTGTGTTTTCAAGGCAAGCATGATAGTAGAACTGATTGTACCATATCTGTTGGCTAAAGTTATCCCATCAACATTTGTGTGTATAGAGAAAAGATAAACAGGAAAGCTGGAGGAAAGTCGAGATCAAGTTAACACCCACAGTATCCTTGTACAGGGTATGAAGGGACAAGAGGGGCTGTAGGTGGAAACTGAAAATGTATTGTGCCCTGTAGCCAGTTCTGTCTGAATCTACATGTGGTGACTTCTGCATCGAAACTCAGTGGTAATGGTGACTGTTCTCCAAGGGCCTATCTGTCCTGTGAGTGACAGTGCTAACTGCAAAGGCTGCTGTGTGTGAAGACAGTTCTTTGAGTGTTCGCTTTGATGGCTTTTTACAGGCTGCCTTTTAAAAACTGTATCCTTTGTGAAGATTCCTTTCCAACTTGGCAGCTCCCCAAGACTTTTGTTCGGGAAGAGTCACTACCATCCCGCTTCCTCTGGGGTATTCTAGTGTGTCCTGCTTTGACTCATTCTAAGTACTGTTCATGGTTCATTGAGTGCAGTGTGGGTTTGAGTGTTGGAGGACACAGGCATTGTTCTGGATGTGTGCTTAGTTTGTAGCCTTGACAGTGAAATGGGGCATTTTCAGAGGGGCAACACCACCACTCCAACCTCTGTTTTATGAAAATCAGCAGTCACCTGGGTCATCACATGTCCCTTTATCTCCTATCAGTGCTGCTGCCCAATTTTTTCTTGGCCAACCACAAGCATGTCTTCAGACATTTAGGGTTAAAATATCCTCTCTGCTCATTAGACCATAATTATAAATATGATTGATGGATGTGTCTTTACGTGTGGATCCACAGATAGTTAATTCTGTTTCAATAGAAGTCATTTGGCATCAGGAAATAAAGAGTGGTTTGTAGTTTAAGAGAGTTGACTTTTATCCTTGGTTCACCTTAATAGCTTTTTGGTCTTTAGGCCTAACTGTTCTGAGCTTTAGTATTTTTAAAAATATCTAAAATGAGCATAATAATACTTGCAAAGATTAGCAATAAAATATGTAAAACACCAAGCGTAGGGCTGACTATCTAATAGGCACTAGGTAATTATAGCTGTTATTATAATTATGTGTTCAATTCCTATATCCAGTTCTCGAAAAATAATCAGTTAAAAATTACAATTATCTCGAAATATGTGCCTATGAACATTTCACATTTCAATTAAGACTTGGAAGGCTTTGTTTATTTCCAAGGTTAGAGGTTTAGATATGTTTTCTGCTTCTTCAGGGGCTGGGAACTGTGGCTCATTTGGTCTACAGTAAATCTGCTTTTCTTTAATTCCAATACTCTGTCTCCCTTTAGTGGACCATGAGTCCTTGAATTTGAAGTGAGTTAGTGAGGGGGAGGAATTTCTAAACATTGCCTGAATGAAAAAGTTGAGGCATATGCTGTGCAAGTACCTCCTCATTGTACAGTCTGACCAGTAGGCTTCAGAGCATATTGGAATTATTTACACCTGGGTGCGTTTGGTCATTCATTCAGCAGGTACTCATTAAGATGCTACTTTTGTGAATGGCTCTGTGCTAAATGCTTGGGGGATACAATGATGCAATAATATAGGCTACTAACTAATAGGTTGAATTAGGAGACGACTTAGTAAGAAGCCGTAACCTGAAGGGTTTTGGGTCCTATAGTTGGCTCTTCCTAACCATAGACGTGGAACCTAAGGATACGGAGGGTTAACTGAACTGTGTCATTTTGTTTAAGGGACCTGAGCTTCCACGGAGTTTGGTATCTGCAGGGGGGGCCTGGAACCAATGTCCCGTGGATACTGAGGGATGACTCTACTAAGAGACAATGCACCCTCAAAACTTTATGCAGATCACATCTCTCAGACTTACCTGATTACATTTCTAGCACTAAAGCTTTGGGGTGAAGAAAATCACCTCTGAAGTAAAAAAGTTATAAAAATCCTTCTCTTATCGCTTTTTCAAGTCCCCAGATGGTGGTGTGTCAAACCTAAATAACAGATGCTAAAGAAATAGCATTATTAGGGGAGACCATAAAACCTGCTCTCCCATTCCGCTCTGCCTCCATTCGTATTAACTTGTAGAATGAAGCTGACTGCATTATTCTAGGCTTAAAATAGAAAACGCCTCCCTATAAATGAAAGTCTCCTGGCATTTCATACTACTGCTCCCATTTCTGATAAATGAATTATTGATGTCTGAGTTAGAGTTTTCCTTCCCTAGGTTGCTCCTTTTTA